GCTCGAGCTCAAGCCAATGAAAAGAAAACAAAATAAAACGGATTTTTCCGAGGATTTTTCATATTTATCGTCAGTTAAGAAAACAGGCTTGGAACTGTTAATTTCTATTTTTGAGGGGGAAACTTTTTGCAAAGAATTTTAACTCGAGGTTTAGGGGGTACCTATACGTCGCGTCGTATACGAAAAATTGTAGGTACGGGTGAAGGGTGAAACCATAGATAAGGGTGGAGCTCACCCCCCTAGGGGATGGTAGCAATGGATTGGAGTGATAGTGTTGAAAATACGCACAAAAGTGTTCCCTGCGATAGAAAAATTGACGATAACATATCGATACGGCTGGAAATCCCTAATTACCGGAAGGCGGTCTTCAGTGACAACAACGTGTGGTTTTTGCTTTAAAAACTGAAACTCCACGTAAAATTAAATTTTTGAGGTTAATTACACTCTGGCTATGGCACGTACCATCGTCACCAAAAGTAACTGGGACAGCATCACATTAGCTCTTGTCCTATTACATGAATCTTATTGTCAAATATTTGTCAAACTATGAATTAAATGCACTGAAATGAATGACAGTTGAATTAGTTCAGGAGATCATTATGCGTTATTTGTGTCCCAGATACTTTTGGTGACGATGGTACATGCCACAATTTGAAGAGCTCCATTGAGGTATAGAAGCAAGGATAATACACACTACTACCACAGATCACCTAATACAGATGCGTAAGTACGTATACTTGCTGTCGACGATATTCTGTGACGAAGCCGGGCCGCCAGCGGCCCCACGCATAGATAAAGATCGCCCGCGTCAGGACAATTAACGTGGCCGAGTGCGTGAGCATGTTCCAGCCTGTGTGTTTACATATTTTTGCGGCTAGAAAAAAATATTTTTTTGCTGTTTATGAACCAATTAAAGAAATAATATTATATTATTGAGCTTCCGCATTTATATAATAAATATGTTCAAAATACATTGATGTGGCATTGGTGCGGCCAGCCTATGTCTATCAAATTAATCTTGAACCACGAATTCGCCGCTCTTTCGCATCTGTATGTAAGTAATCTGTGCTACTACTACTGTACTACAGGACATAGAGCTACAGGATGGCCTATCCTCATAAGCCAGTGTGTAACAAATCCCCCACCTCTTCCCCACCTTACCCCAAACTACCAGTTGTGACGTAGGCAGCATGTTATTTCTCGCCTTGACGTAGGCTCTCTAAACAGCTGACGACTTAGTTATGACGTCGAAATGGTAACACACCAATATGGCGTCGATTACCAAAAACGAGGCTGATAAGCAATCCTGTAGGTGTGTATCATCCTTGGTACAGAAACGCCTTCTACAACTCAACTGTCAATATTACATTCCTTCCTATAACGTGTGAGTTTTGAACTAATATTAGGCGAGTTCGGGTAATCCTTCGCTAGTTAAAAGATGACATCATCGACGGAAGCTCACGTGAGCTTCCATTTGAAGTCATAGAAGATCAAGAACGATAAACCATAAGACGATAGTCGCTTTTCGTAAGCGCCACGTTCGCCAATTTAGCCGACCGCATAGGTTAATGACCAGACGCGTGATGTACTCTGGCCCACCGATCCAAAGATTTGGTACTAGTTACATTGCTCGACATTTCTCTGTAATGAAAATTCGAGAAGTTTAATATAAAACTTCTCGAAATTTATTGTATTAAAAGCCTGTTTTGGCATTGGCACATCATTGAATGGCTAAACCCAAGGTTGTTTGAGAGAGGCCGGTTGCCTGACAGCTTCATGACGTCATCCGGGGTGCCTCAACACAATGCAAATTTCCATAGGGCTCCCCAGACGCGTCATCAGGCCACCCATCACAAGGCAACCCATAAACCACAGGAACCTTGGGTTAAACCATATTATCCTCCTATAGCAATAACAATAACGCATAAAACTTGTTTCGAGTGAGCCAGGTGACGTTCCTAGAGCAGCGCGTGCCCCCGCTAAACTGGCGGAAAAATATCACCGATGTAACCATTCTCTGTGGTTTATCGTTCTTGATTAAAGATCACCTGAGCTCTATCCAAGGCTCCTAAAGTTGATAGGTTGTCCGGCAATGGGCAACCTGACGACGCATCTGGGGTGCCCTATGGAGATTTGCATTATGTTGAAGCATCTTAAATGACGTCATGCAGCCATCCAGGCAACCTGCCTCTCTCAATAATAACCTTGAGGTCTATCGTCTTTTTGCTTGCGCAGGATTAACTAACCGAACTCGCCTATTCTATAAACGAGCCCTATTTGAAATCATTGTGAATGTGCCTCTGGTCCCTCTTGCGAATTTTCCGCTTACAGTGCGGTATCTTTATGCCATTTTGGTAACGGGTCTTCAAAAAAAAAACTAAATCAGAGAGTGCTTTGATTACAAAAACATATAGTTTGTCGATTTTAATCTGATACTCCAAAGGAATATGAGCTGGTAGCTTCCTACATTAGAACGCCAATGGTTACCTGACACTTGTTTTTGCCTTATGAAACATCTCCTCGCTCCTCATACGGAAAGTAGAATAAAAACGACGGACTTTACGTCGCATTATTATTTCTTTATTGGTGGAGATTTTTGACCAAGTTTTCGACATTACAAAATGCAATGACAAAATTGAAGAAAAATATTGCTGAGACATACGTTTAAAAAACCCGAGAAAAAACCATAGCCCATCTCTGATTTTTTTCTTTGAAGACCCATTACAATTGACACAAGATTAATTTCTTCTATCATAATAAAAATTCCAGAAAAATTCAAAAATAATGTTTTAAAAATATTTTGTAATTTTTCAAATTGACAGTAATTTATTTTACTAATGAAATAAAGTGCACTTTAATGTACTAGTAGGTCCCTTCTATATAAAAACTACTTATAAAATCAAGTTAGAAATGATGTTAAGGGGTTTTAGTAATTTTGGTAAATGTGTGTAATTTCAGTAATTTTAGTAAATGTGTGTAATTTTTTTGTAATTTCAGTAATTTTAGTAAATGTGTGTAATTTTTTTGTAATTTCATTAATTTTAGTAAATGTTTGTGTAATTTTTTAGTAAATATTGGTAATTCTGGTAAATGTGTGTAATTTTCGGTAATTTTGTAAATATCATTAAATATTTTGTAATTTTTTGTAAATATTTTTTTGGTGTACACGATTGTTCGCAGTGGTTACCCCCTCGATAGATATTATTGAACCGGTGGACAGTGAGGAATGTATCTTCTTTGTTTCATAAGTTTAATTTTTCAATTACTCTCAACATCCTTAGTTGAAAATAGCAATTTCAAGAAGTCAGAATGCAAGCTGAGTTATATATTTGTCCTAGATATAAGCAGCCACTTTCTATGCAGTAACAATATTTATTGCAATACATTTCAATCTAATTTCTTGCATTATCTTCGAAAATTATATCCGAAAAATTGCTGTGCAACCTAGCATTACAAATTGGTTATATTTAGAATTTTGCAATTTTAGAACAGTATTTTATCGACAATATTTTTCGGATCACTAAGCACTGAAGCATATGAAGTTTGTTCCATAGACAATAAATGCTATTTAGGAAATTTTTAGCAGTTCAACAGTAGTGTGTTAGGAGAGATAATTTACTGCTTTCGCCTTGAAAATAAAATGAATAATTCATAATAGATTGTATTGTTTGTTAAAATAAAATTCATTGAATACTACAAAAAGGGCTAAGTAGTAAAATACAAATCATTGAAATCTTTGGTCTCGATCATATTGCAATTAGCCACAGAATACACAAATTATTTCCTGTTTTTATGTTTCTAGATTTAAAGCATTTCATAGGATTCCTTTAAATTTAAAATAAACATGAGTCAGTATATCGCTCGGTATATCGTTTTACCCAGGGTTTTAACTGTTATCATTCAGTTCATAACAAATATGAATTTAAGTATAAAATGAAAAAAAAAAAAACTTCCATAGAATAGTAATTTGAGTATCCTCAAATTATATTCTTTTCAATATTCTTTCAACAATTCTGAAATATAAATTCTCTGAATTCCGGCGCCAAATAACTTTTATCAAAAACTCTTATTCACGGTCCAATATAATCAGATAAAAAAAACACTCTCATATTAAATGAAGGGGTTATAGTATAGTAGATAATTAGGATTTCAAGTTACTAAGGCCCGGTTTATTTATTTCTTGATAAACTTGCTGGTAACTGATAATATTCCGGTAAACCATTAGAATTATAGATTGCGATTTTATCTGTCATATTGAATTACCTGAAAGTTTATCAGAAGGTGAATGAACTGAGCCTTAATCTACTAGATAGCATAAATCCAAAACTAGCAATATTCATACCTTGAAATTATTACAAAGCGATCTGGAATTGAATACAACATTTGGGCAAAGTACTTCTTAAACATCTCGGCATGTATAATAGTGTTAGTTTAAAACGAATCTACATCTTATAGGTACTTAGATGAGTTACTAAGTAGAAAATTTAAAAATCTAACTTTTGGTTTCTTTGTATGAAAATGTCAGTCAAGAACATCTATTCTAACAAAGGTATATGAGAATTTTTCAATAAAAACACCATAAAGGGAGGTCTCTTTGGCAACAAATATGGAAGCACATTTACTTTGTCGAAACTTGTGCAATATCTTTCGGGGCCAGCACTATTAAGCAGAGTTTAAAAAATGTATACTTATATAAATATGTAAAATTATTGTACACAATACTTAATAAAGAGCTAGATAAAGAGTTTTCAAAAAAAAGGTTTGGTCTCTGGCGAGGTCTCTGGTTTGGTATGATTTAGCACAAGAAAAATCAAGACAAAAAGTGAGGGCCCCATTTATTTCTTGAAAGAATTTCACCTGTGAAATAACTGATATCAACTGAAGGAATAATTTGCTTGCCAAACTCACAATCTGTGTGTATATCATGTTACAGACAAATATTTTGTTTGTTTGTTGACAAAAATGCAAAGGAGCAAGATTTTAGAAAAATCTTCACTTACCTCCTTGTTTCAAGTTGTCACTATTGTCAATGGGGATGACCAAAAGGGGCAGTACTCCACTAAGGCCGACTAGGATGGACCCAAACATAGCCCAAAGCCAGGGCATTTCCTGGAAGCCACCGAAGAATTCTGGAACCTCTGGCATGGTTGGGACAAGGAAATCTCGCGGGAAATCTTGACGAAAAACTTCAGCGGTCGTACGGTTTATATCGGAGACACATAAAACTATATCAGAGACCATTGTCGATTATTTAATAGCAGAAACCACAGTTTTTTCTCGTAAAAATCAATGGGTTCAAAACCTACGTACTCGATAAGAGATAAGTGGTAACGATAATGAGTTTTTTTTATTGATAATGTTGTGTACCGACTAACCTACTCTGAGATTGAGCCGGACAAATTAAAGACTAATGATTTTCGATTCGAGACACTTGCTATTATACACTCGTCCTCATCCCAGCTGATAACGTATCCTCAACTGTCCCCATTTTTATTGAAGTTGAAAACACTCGAAACGACTTTAGGTTTTACTTTATTCACAAAAGTTCTAGACGCACTTTGTTCAAATGCGCTTCACAAAAATATCACCAAACTAAAGTCTACAATCATGTGTTCTGTGTTTATGTTGACATTTATAATAAGTATTAAGAAATGGCCTGGGCGCAGGCCGTTTCCACCAGCGACGCATTCGCATCATCGTAGTGGAAGGCAGGGTAATCACACTTTATTTATAGTTTATGGTAGAAGAGCTATAAAAGTGACAAAAAATTTACAGGGTCATTGATCACATTTTAACCAGTAGATACGTAAATTTAAAATTTGATATCTATAGGTGGTATTAAAAAGCGCCAGCCAAATTTGGTTTTAGATATACAGGGTGTTCTATAAACAAATGTCAAAACAATGACACGTACCAAGGTTGTTTGAGGGAGGTAGGTTGCCTGATAACTTTTATGACGTCATCTGTAGGCCTAAACATAATGCAAATCCCCATAAGGCATTCCAGATGCGTCATCAAGTTACCCATTACCAGACAACCTATAACTCTAGGAACCTTAGACACGTGTAATTTTTTGAATGGAATATCCTGTATATTTTTATATTTTTAGGTTCCAGATCTTTTTTACGTATTATGCTCTATACCAAAATCTTCAACTGTTTCCGGTAGGTATAGGCGTTTTCTCGCGTCTGAAATGTTTCAAAACGTTTTTCAAAACTGGTTTGAGTAATGTCACCATGACATCATAATTTCTCGGCTCGAGAAAATGGTTTGAAAACGTGGATTGGATTGTATTTCGAAACGGTTTGAACCGATTTTGACGTGACGTCATGGGTTAATCGCGAGAATGTACTGTTTCAAAACAGTTTTGAATCAGTTTCAAAAAAGTGGACGCGAGAAAACGCCTTATATGTATTGTGAATTGAAAATCGAAATATGTTAATTTATTTAAATAAAACAATCAATATCAAATAAAACGGTTCAATGCACTGATATAGAGCCGTTTTACACGGTAAAGTTTCTTCACGAAATTACTCACGAAATTATTGCCGAAATATTTCGTAAGTTTACTATTCTTGGTTTCGCTTTTTCCTGTTTGACACGGCAAATAAAAGTCTAGCCAAAGTTTCGTTGAAATATTAGTCATACGCAGGCGCAGTTACGTTTTGCCATCAATAATATCAAATCATAACCTCATACTTTGATAAACCAAAACAAATAAAACTTCCATTTTCTAATTGTTATTGAATTTTTGTACCCTCCTGCAGTTTCATAAAGTTGAATTTGTTTTTTCCTTCCATAAATAAAGTTTGTTTTTTTTTTTTATTTGCCTAGCTGTTTTTGGGAGCATTACTTTTTTCGCCGATGAGCAGTCTATCCTTATCTATTACATAGAATATTCAATGACGCATTCATAGGCTCCACGAAAAAGAAACTGCCTTTTAGTGTGCGCCGAAACTCACGCATATATTCGGCCACGCCCACAAAAACTATAGAACATTTTCTAAAGTTTATTCGTGAAATATTTCGTAAGTTTTTCTTGTCGTGTAAAACAGGAAAAGTTGACTTACGAAATATTTCGGCAACAATTTCGTAAGTAATTTCGTGAAGAAACTTTCCCGTGTAAAACGGCTCATAAGAGAATTAATTAGTTAATAAAATGCACAAAATAGCCACCATTCTCTTCAACGCAGAGTCGGTAACAAAGTTGCGCTGGCTAACGTGCAAGAAATGGATAAGGGCTTGAGCATCAGGTGCGTGCAACAAACACTTTTCGAAAGGAATAAGCGCGTAACGCCCCGGAGCCCACTGTACCCGGAGCTGTTCCGGAGCTCCTCTTAGTGAAAGGAATACAACTAATGGGTCGTCTCTGATCAAGTATTATACACACTACTACTAAAGGATAGCCTATCTTCATAAGGCCAGTGGGGAACAAATCTGAAGCCCCCCATCGCGCCAAATCACCAGTTGTGACATAGGCAGTAAAGTTGACTGCTCAACTTCACTCCTTTATATCACCTAGATTGGTCGATGAGGATTTTTTTTACAATTTTTCTGAGGTTCCCTGAAGGATCCGCAACGACGTAGTAGAGAGTTTATTTGAATCACCCTGTTTTCACAAAAGTATTTTCAGTTGTTGTTTGACGGTCTGTGTTGTTGAAATATCAATATTTCAGGAACAGCTGAAGATAGAGGTACCTATAGAATATTCCTACCAGAAAAAGATCTATATTTTTTTGAAGAATCCAAAAAAGTAATAATATACAGGTTGATCCATTTAACATAAAGTATCGATATGTTCTGACATTTCTCTACAACGGACAATAACCTGTATACCCGGAACCAACATTTTCTGGCGCTTTTTAATAACACCCTTAAATGTCAAATTTGAACCAATAGGGTAGTGGACAATTTTTTGAAATATTTTTTTTATTAATCTCCATAACAAAATAAATAGTAGTTGATGATTCTTTGATTTTAGAAAACAAAAATATACTTCAAAAAAAATAAACAAATTTGTACTTATTTTAAACGCTATAATTTACCGCCCGGAAATTACGTCATAGCTGTTATGTCTTATAGCGTCAAGGCATTCCGACATTAATAAGAGTGGGCGAGTGCGCGGTCAGTGCGTCCTTATATTTTACATGCTTCTAGAACAAGATGCAGATAAGCTCAGTGCGTATTGATTGACAAATGGAAATCTCTCAAAAAGTGGGGGTTAAGTTGAGGGTGCGCCCGACAGACGCTGATATATCTCTCTTTTTTGCACTAATGAGTAAGTGTGTGTCAAATATAGGACGAAGGTTTGATTCATTTCATACTCAAATACAGCAGCTGTGACGTAGAATCTTTGAATATAAAACTACAGGAAGGAGCATAACTTCGAATCTGCGCGACCAAAATATGTGGAGGTTGCATATGGCCGACTAGTATTTCCGGTTTGGCAGTGGCGTATATTTATTTAAATATGATTGTCAATATTATGACTCACTCTTTTCTCACTAACTCCAGTACTTATTATCATTTCAAACTGCTAAAATCCATTAAACATCCACTTGAATGAGGACACAGCGAACCACCAAAACAAATGATGAGTCCATACTTGGAGGCTCAAAATGGCCGTTTCCGTCTCTGCGTTGTCTGTAGTGACAGATAGAAAACGCTCCTTCCTGTAGTTTTATATTCAAAGCGTAGTATCAAGGCACGAAATATTTTTGTTTAAATAGTGCGCCCCAAAACTGTACTTTTACAATCGTTTTTAACAAAGTTAGCAATTTTTTCTGAAATTTCTTTCAATAGGAATATTTTTCATTTACTCCATAGATGGACAATAGATCATCGATTTCATTGAATTTATACCTTGTCCACTACCCTATTGTCAAATAAAAAAGTTATCTATTGATCAAAATGTGGACAATGACCCTGTACTTACAGAGGAAGATGAATATTTACAATGGACAACATTCTTGGATTGCGATACCTTAGCTTTGTTCCAACACAGCAGGAAACTGTCCAATGTACCGTCACGTCCGTCACCATTCTGCGCAAAACCTAAAATGTGTGCGCAGAATCCGATATCGTTATTCACGGAACGGTTTGTGACGTGTTCGAATAAACCTACCATTTAAAGCTACCTAACCAAATATTCATACTAGTCAAGTGTTTATGGTTCAACTCCAAATACATTTAGATAAAAGCATAACTTACGTTCCTAATTAGGTACCTGTATAAATGTTTGCAGAAAAGTATCAAATTGCGTTTTTGTTGTTGTTGCTTTGAATAGCAGGGATTTGAGAGGAAAGTTGTTGTTGTTAGTAGACTCAAGTTTTAATCGACTCTGTGCCCGTGCTTAACGTGCATTTTTTGTCCTCATCGACTTTTACTGATGGATCTTACGTCTGTCATTGTCATTTTGTATTTACTGAACATAGATACATAGTTTCTTCATCGGTGAACTCTACAGGAAAAATCGATGGGATTTAAAACGCAAACTTCAATCTCAGCAGATATTTAACAAAATTTAAACCGCTGCCGCAATAGGCATATTCCCAACAGTGGGCTAGCTATGCGCATAGCATAGGAATCCCTCCTCCAACCCACTAGCAGAAGGGAATTGGGACGAAACGAAATTTATACTTATATCGAATTCAAATTTATATTTGTAATGAATTCAAGTTTAGTATTTGATGGTATTTATTTGTAACGAATCTAAATTTATTATTTGTGACGAATTTTGACGTCGGACTGTCGGGCATAATATTTTTATTGTTCTAATTGTCTTTTATAGGCATTTTGCCGACTGTCTGACACTTTAGAAAAACCTATTATATAAACTACTGTATATATTGTTTGAATCGATTATTTATACCAAATTTTGATGTCGGACATGATATTTTTATTTGAATATTCTGTAGGCACTTTGCCAATTGTGCGCATACACTTTACAATGACTACGTTATTCCACGTGTTGTATCCGGATACCTACCAATTAGTAGATTAAAGGATTATTAATCCATATTCGTTTATTTCACGACTATTATAAAATGGATTGCTAATCCTTTCTTAAGCCTTGTTAAAAGAGCAAGCGTAATTATTGCTTTGTAGTGATCGTTTGTGTCTAACTTTATTTAAGCAATCTAAGGCAACAATGATGAAAATAGTTTCCATTAACAATTGGAAGGTAAACATGTTCCTATCTCATACCGGTTTTCCATCACAAAATATTCAAATAAAACTAAAGGTTTGTTCCAACACGATAAAAACCGTCCCATGAACGGTTTCGAAACCACTCTGTACACGAATTTCAGGTTATACGCAAGAATTTTTGGCTTTGTTTATTTTAGGATTATTAATCCCCATTATATTAATCCAATCCACTCAAGTATCCGGATACAACGCATGAAATAAACTTGTAGTTACTGTTGATATATTTATTCTTGACCATCCGACGAAGTTTATCTTTTCTGTTATGGTTTGGTATGGAGACGCCCTTGTCTATGCAAATCACCATAAATATAATATTTAAGTTTTATTAAGGGATCATTTACCATAATTATAAATTATGTGAATATCAATGGCAATTTCTGTTCGTATGAACAGTATGAACACCAACTTTAGTCTCTCAGAGACTCTATGTGGATTTTTTTCAAATAAACTTTACATTAGACAAAGTTGTTTCTGTCTTCTGAACCACTTTGCAACTTTATTCCCAGAAAACAACCTATGAATTGTACATACATATTTTCTCCACAACGAGTATTCCATATAAACCTTTAAGTTTCATACATAGGTATAGGTAGATTTCTGAAGACATTCTCTATAAAAATAATATCTTGTCAAGGATTATAACAATGCCTTTTATTTTCTTTCAGATTTCATGTGTGGTGTTTTCTGAATCACTACTAAGTCCAGTCACGTTGTGGTGTCACCTACCAATTTTGAGGTAGGTAAGAATCTGAAAATTGCTATGTACACCTTCATTTTGACGTTCTAATAGTTGTCCTAAAGGTCACAATAAATGTGGTCAAGGCTTCTTTAGTTATTGCAGGTCAAAGGTCACAGAAATCAGTTTTTTTGCGATTATTTCGGTTCCTATTGCTCCAACGATTTAAACACCTATTAAAAAAGTTAGAGATAATAAATTTCCTAGGCACTTTTGTTTGAAACTTTTTTTTATAAAATGAAACGTTCTTGAGATAGAGCGCGAAGAGTGGTAAGCCCTATGCCCCAGATTTTTACCAATAAATTAAAAGGACCTAGCGGTGAATTTTTGCATACACATTGTTGTTATGGGTCTAAAAAATTGGTGAAAGTTTCCCATCGATTCGGTGATTATTTGGGCCGTTACGGAGGGTCAAAGGTCAGGAATGCGTTTATCAATATCTCGAAAACGGTCAACTTTTTGAAAAAAATTTTCTTAAAAAGTTATAGATCATTGAATTTGCACCAAATTTAGTCTTAGGTATATTGCTCTACAATTAGCCCTTCTTCGGATACGATTGAAAGTCTCCCATCGTTTAATATCAATATTTAGTCAAAAATATTATTAAAGTTTACTTTTACAGCGCGGCGGTTGGCAATTTACGCATATATTTTTTATGCGTGCGGAGGACACTTTCTGGAGCGTCCACTCCTCCTGGATCCGCCACTGCTACCTACTCTTTTTCTGAAAAAATATCCTGGTATCTTACACACTTTTTTTTTCTGAAATATCCAACCCAGAGCCCTTACTAGTCCTAGTCCAATATTATATAAATGAGATCTCAAGTTTTATTCCTATACAGGCGGTTTGAAAAAAGTGTATGAAAGAAGAATGGTGTATTGAAAAAAATTCTCAACTTCAAAGGACCCTAACATAGGCGCCGGAACCATGGGGGCAATGGGGGCTTAAGCCCCCGTAGTGAATTTGCTATGGGGGCGAAGCCCCCATAGTGATTTTGGAATTTTATGTAGTGGGTGTAGTGGGTAGGTACAAAAATATTGGGTTTCTTATCTTAACATTCTTAACTATTTATTTTTATATTAAACTTGTGTTTTTTATATTTTTGTTGTTTTTGCTATACCCACTTTGACAAACAGTTGTTTGATTTTTTTGTTCAGTATAGTATATAGTAAATTTTAGAGGCCTTAATACAGAAAGCTTAGATGACAGATACCCATTACCCAACATAACGGATCTCTTGAATAAGCTGGGACGCTGCCAGTATTTCACCACCTTAGATTTAGCTAGCGACTTCCATCAGATCCAGATGCATGAAAACGACATCGAAAAAAACGCATTCAGCACAGAAAACGGGCATTATGAATTCTTACGCATGCCCTTTGGTTTGAAGAACACGCCGGCTACATTCCAAAGAGTTATGGATGATATTCTATATCCCAATATATTGAGCAACTTCAACACCGAAAGATATAACATCCCATTGATGATAGTTATTCATTATACAAGGGAAAAAAGCGAGATGTGGTTTGCCTCCCGTCGCGAAGCAGAGGGAGACAACAATAAGGTGGCCGAAGAGCGCTGGAATGCTGGAGGTGGGACAGGGAAAATAAAATTGGCCTGTTGTTGACCTGTCAAACCTGTATATAGGTAGTTCATTTTTTTGGCCATGCCATTAGCTTATTTATAAGTTTGTTTCGTGCCAAAAGTTGAGTTTTTTTCAATTTGTTCTGAATGAAACCGACGTCCCATTTAAGTCTATGTGTCTAGTAGCCTAGTCCTGTCTGTCTAATTAATTCTACTTGTGTTAATTTTTGGAGCCCGAGCCCCCATAGTAATTTTGAAATTCCGGCGCCTTTGGACCCTAACGTTTTGAGGACACTAAAACTAAATGATACTTTGATAGGGCCTTTAGAGCTTCTACACAGATTCTCTGAAAAATCAATCATACCTTCGATTACCTACACGTTGTTTTGAACCAGTAGAAAAATTGGCTTTTTCCGAAAAACACGCTGTAACTTGTGCCATTATTTGTGGGCATTGAAAGACACAAACTGGGGGCAAATTGATGCTCATGTCATTCAATTTCTTTAAAAAATTGACCAAATAAAACGCTAGAATTTAATTTTTTTTGATAGGTAGCAATACAATTTTCGTTTCCAAACCTATATATAGCATACCATTTAGTCTAAATCGTAGTAATTTACTTATTAATAAATTAAATGGAACATAACTAAAACATTCAGTTCAGTAATGACGACAAAAAAAAAATCTGTCCGATTCTGCCAGCTCACCAACTCAAACTTTTTAATTAGACTTTGCAGTTTAAGGTCTCAGCACCCGTTGCCAATTTACATTCTTTAGTTAGGGATTCATGCGTGTCTAGCTTCGGGCGTCTCAATTTTGGCCTATTTCAAACTGTATTGTGCATTTGAGAATGTCAGTGTGGTGTGCTAGCTAATTGGTTTTTAGTTTTTTTTCTGTTCTTGATACGAACTGGCGTTTCAAAATTAAGTGGATTTTACTCAAAAATGGATTCTTGGGGACAGTTGGACCTCACAACAGCCATCGTCCAAAGAGAAGATCCTTTGAATGCTAGTTTTAGAAGAAGTAAAAAAATTGTAAGCGTAGGTTTATAATAATTAGCAAAGTTTGATCAGTGAGAGACAAATCAAATATGCATGAGTGTTTCAGAATTGGTAGATATAAGAATCTTCCGGGGATTGCAAAGGGAAGCATCGAACACTTTTCTTCCATCTACGTACTGTGAGGTTTTTTTTAATCCCAATAATTTCTTTATTAATTTAGGATTTTTTCTGGTGATTTTTTGGCTCCATTGATATTTTGAGCAATCAAAGATAAAAATTATGCCTTTATCAAGCTGAGGGATCAAGAGAGCTTGTTGCGTGGCTTTAAATTTTAAATTCAGTGGAAAACTGATGCACAATCTGTGTGTGACATTTTAGAAATTCCAAAATAATCTAACCCACACCTTTTATACATATTTTACTAATTATTAAACCAAAACATCAACTGTGTAACGACCACTTAAAATATGAATTTATAATTAGCGATTTTTGGTATTCTGCCAGCAATGTGGGACTAATTTGATAAATAAACATCAACATTTACTGTTTACATTAAATATTTTGTACAAAAAATAAATTATTTCATCCCTCAGTTTCTGGATTACTAGTCTTTTATTAAACAACTTGCCTGCCTATAGGGAGCCATTATAGGATGAAGTATATGTTGAAATATTTTGGAAACCAATTTTTCCATTCACTCTCGCAAGTGAAAATTTGTTTTTTTTTTAACTTAGACCCGATTTATCCATCTTCAGATAAACTTGTTGGTAACTATCTGCAGCATATAATTTATTTTAATTAGGTAACGGCCCAATTAAGGACCGATTGAGAAGTGTTTTATCTCTGCGGGACCATCCGTGGACGCGTTTCGCTGTATCACAGCTCTTCAGCACGGTTAGGTCCCGCAGAGAGAAAACACAACCCATTTTTGGTTCCTTCCCGGAACTGGGTTTGATGTATTGATTTGTGCCGATCAGAAAATAGATGGAGACTCTGTCTTCATCTTACTTGTATATAATTTATTGTTCAATAATTCTATTGGTCGGCGGACCAATGAAATTACAAATTGCTTTTTTCTTTGTCAGATTGCGTACCAGAAGTTGAATAATAAATCGGCCCTTAGTAAATATATATTTAGTCTAGGTAGGTAGATACCTATTATTCAAAGGCAAACAAATAATCTACAGTCTATTTTGAAAACAAATTAATATAGGTAAGAAAGTTTCTTCAATCGATTCCAGCGAAAGACTATATACGATCTTCCATATGATGCTATCACCTCATCAAGTTTTATACCCCAGTGGAAGTGGAACCTTATTACCATTATTTTCATTATTATTTGGCGATTAAATTTCTGAAAATTATAAAGGGTGGGATCTGTAGTCTAGAAGGAGCTCGCCTATGATGGAAACTTGGAAACTCTATCATATACAAGTAATTTCTAAGGCCAAGTCAAAATATTGTTACGAAATTGCTTCGGAAGCCTGGCCGGATTCTAAGAATGCAATTGTAGGGCGCCGGGTTCTTCTAGATAAATTCCGAGTACACTGTCTGCTTTAAATAGCGCGAAGTAGTAGTATTGTAAGTCAGTGTTAATTTGATATTTGTCGTCTACGTTTCGAATAGTGATAAGTGAATTTTATAAACTCAATAAGTTTATTAAAAGTTGTTACTGTTTGTGTTAGTGAGTTTTAATGAAGCCGGAATCCATGACAATATGTTCTAAATCCTTCAAAAAAGCAGCTCGAAAGATACAGGAACCTTTATTATCTACGGAAGAGAATTGTCCTGATTAAAAAGATATTTAAATCTTACATTTCGAAGGGTATATACAGGTGTGTTTCTGGATAAAGGGATCAAACCTCTAGGATCAATAGTACTCATTAAAATAAAAACAAGTTAAGGGAAACATGGGTATGCGAATGCCTAGTTTTCGAGATACTTTCAAAGCAAAATTTGCAAAGTAATCTGGTTTTTATAGCTCAAAAATCCCTTTCCAGATTTTCCTTAAAGTTGGCAGGTTTGTTTGCAATAACAAAAGGTATCTCTTGACTGTAATATGACTTGCTCAATTTAAAAAAAATATATCTAAGGTATAAAAAGACAGTGACGTGCCATTTTTTTTCTACTTTTATTAACAGTTGCCCTCTGGGGCGCCACTAGAATAATTACGATAAATCTAATCGAGTGAAAAGTGAAGATACCTTTTTGGGCTTTTTGTTATCACAAACATGCCAAGTTTAAGGAGAATCTGGAAAGGGATTTTTGAGCTAAAAACCCGATTTTTTTTTTGCAAACTTGACACCCTGTATCTAGAAGACTAAAGCTGGATTTATAGTGTCAGTATCAGTAACAGTAACAGTAACAGTAAAACTTAAAACTTAAGAACAGATATGAAAATAACCATTTCTTAAGTTTTACTGTTAAGTTTGTTAAGTGAATTATAAATGGCTTTACGGCAGGCCGTGTTTTAATATTTTACTGTTACTGCTACTGTTACTGATACTGACACTATAAATCCAGCTTAAGCGTTCGCGGACCCATCTTTCTAATAACTTTTTTTTTAAATTTTAATGAGAATGAACGGTACTACTTATCCTAGAAGTTTGATCCCACTTTTCAGAAACACCCTGTATAACAAATTTGGCCATCTTAAAATCGACTCTGTGTGTGGAAGGGAAATTCTGTATTTATTGGTAAATTTCAAATTATTGTAAATGCTATACAGGGTGTTTCAGAAATGGTGTTACAAACTTCAAGGGCAAATAGTATTCATGAAAATAATTAAAAAAGTTCCTATGGATATAGGTCCGGAACCGCTTTGTTTCCAAGATACAGGGTAATACGTTTTTCAAAAAAAAAAATTGTTTTTTATTAATAGCCCAAAAGAGCTTTAGCCGATTTCAATGAAATTTTCACGGTTTATTTCAATCATTATTAGACATCTACTGGACCAATCAGATTTAATCCAGAATTCCCAGGGGCGTACCCAGCGACCAAGCCGGTTGTTTTTGTGCAGCAAAAAATATCACTCTGTAGTGTTTGTACGAATTTTATTGATTATTCAGATAGACACACTAAAAATACAACATTTTTGTATCTTAAATTTTTCAATTATCTCGCTTCGTTTTCGCGGAAAAATTACAATACCGTACCTCGGCACGTCTCTGGACTCCATAAGGAAAGATAAAAATTCATAGAAATTGAGGTACATCACCCATTCATTGAGTGACAAGGACATAAATTCCATTTGAGGTTTTTTTTTTTGTTTTGTTTTCATAAATCAACAAACTCCAATAAATTTTTAATCAATTCCTAAGCATTTTTATTTTTTCTAATGGAGTTCAGAGACATGCCGAGGTATGGTATTGTAATTTGTGATATTTTTTTCTGCACAAAAACAAACGACTTGGTCGCTGGGTACGCCCGTGGGAATTCTGGATCAAATCTAATTGGTCCAGTAGATATCTAATAATGGTTGAAAATTTCATTGAAATCGGCTAAAGATCTTTTGGGCTATTAATAAAAAACAATTTTTTTTTTGAAAAACGTATCACCCTGTATCTTGGAAACAAAGCGGTTCCGGACCTATATCCATAGGAACTTTTTAAATTATTTTCATGAATACTATCTGCCCTTGAAGTTTGTAACATCATTTCTGAAACACCCTGTATATTGTACTGGAAGAGAATAAATCTTATATACATACCTAATAATAAAAATAAACGATAGGTATCTATTATTAATTCCTATCACCTGGTGTAAAAGGAAAATTACCAATAAGGAACAAATTCTCATGCCAAAACCCATTTTTAGTGATTCGATGGCTCTAGCTAAGGCAATAAACCCTCGTTGTCAGCACGGCCACATGGTGAAGTTTAGGGTCTAGTTAAATGTTAAGCAGGTAGTTTTGTAAAAGGGACAGTATGAAATATGCGTTTGTTACAAAGTGTGTCTATTATTCTCTTCTTAAATTTTGAAAACGGGATCCTTCAGTCTGGTCATAGTTACTTAAGAATAAAATTTAATTCGTATATACCATAATGCATTACATAAAATTAAAAAAAGCGGATCCAATCTTTTCCCTATCCGATCCCCAGACATTCTTAAAATATCCCGCTTCGTATCCCGATTACTTACCACTAAATGTTTATTACGGTATTTTTAGAATGCGTCTCCGCTATTCCTGAACGCGATACTTTAGATTTTTCGTATGTTACATAAAGTGTGCTAAAAAGTGAGTGTTTTGGTAGAAAATTTTAGTAAAACTGAAGGAATAAAATTATAATCTAAGTAGAAAGAAATGGGGGAAGCAGATATCTGGGGCCAATTGGCTTTAGAAGCATCGCAGGTTTACTTAACTGAAGGTACTGGAGTTAGAAGTCCATTTGCTGGAACGGTATGTCGATTAATATGTCAATATTTTTGTTTTGACGAAATACTTGAATTATGGCCGTTAAAATAAAAAAATTGACACCTAATATTTCTTTGTATCTAAAAAGGGTCTCACAGTTCTATTAAGGCTGACAATTACTTTGAAAAGCTTCTCCCTTTACCTTTACGGGACTTGGTCCCTTTTAGGAAACTTTCATAGGTATGGTACCCTATCATTTAGAATTTAGCTGATTCCAATTTTCATAGTTTTTGAAGAAAAGAATCATATGTGACTGACCCACATTTCATAAAAGTCAGAGCCTAATTCTGTGAAATCTGTAATGCTTAAAAGACAGGATATAAGACAGTATAAAGTATTGCACTTCTTGGACCATAATATGCATTAATTTTGCGGAATAACCCATTTTGTTCAAGTATCTATCTATACCTATAACCCGAATAACCCTTCCATATTGTAGAATGGAATTAAATTTTGAATGACACAAATTGGTTTAAATTTAGGTAGTTTAGATTTTGTATTTTACATTTTTGCTTAGCTGAAGAAAGACTTCTACGAAAATCTGGTATTTTGACAATGTTAATTTGTATATTCACTAAACGCAGTGATGTTTCCTTTATTTAGACTATCGAGAAACTTCCAGACAAAGTTCTACTTCACATATTCAGCTACCTAAGCCATAAAGAAATATGTCAAATGGCGCGAGTCTGCAAGAGATGGAGGCTGATGGCCTACGACACCAGATTATGGAAGAATGTGTCTTTACGGCCCGAAATATCTGGACTGCATGTTGGATCTTTGGAATCTTTGCTGGCATTGATTAGTATCAGATTTGGACCTTCTCTAAGGTAGGTATAACAATAAAGCTTTTATAGTAGGTAGCTACAGATTGAAAAAAGTCAAATTTCAAACTTAATTGCCAATATTTTAAATCAGATTATCATAACAGCAATTTTAGTGTTGAAACACATTATAATCTTCAAATGGAGGAACCAAAGACAATTTATAAATGCATTTTCCTAATACCTATACCCATCATAGTTACAGGGTGTCAAGTTATAAAGTACCACCCTCTAGTAATAACTTTTTTATTTTTGATCGCATAGAAAAAGTTACAGATGGTTAGTTTATAGCTTGACACCTGGTACCTAAAACTATGGAATGGAACTAAAATAATTAATGGCAAAGCAAAAACAATTAGATTTTCACTTTCATTTAGGTATTCCACCATTACTAAAGTATCCATATAGTACACACTGTGCCTTCTCCGGGCGAATTAAATTAAATAGTATTCATTTATTTTATTTTCCGTCGACCGTTTATTAACGTGCTTCATTAATATATACAAAAACAAAATCGTTCATTAATGACCCAATGCATGATTTTCATGATTTGTCATTAATGCATGATTTCTAATCAATATGGCGGCCTAGGTTAAAAAGTGAAATTGGCCCATAAGGATTTCATATAAATACCTTTGTCCTCCAGACAACCATGAGGTTTTGTTATCCTAAATCCTAAAACTGTCTTCTGTATATTTGGTGGTGTTTCAAGGTGATTTTCTATCGCTTGAGAATCCATTTTCGTATTTTAGGATGGAGAATCCTTATCTTAAGAAGTTATAAATATTATTAGTGAAAAATCCGGGGGTTGGCAACGACAAGACATTGATATGCTGTAAGCTGAAATTCAACAGTTTGATAAAGGTTTGTCGTTCGTCAAAGAAAATTTAATATACCATGAAAAAAAGCATAAAAAGCCCAAATACAAATCGTTTTTTTTACGTCAAAAACCTGTGTTTTGTCTATCCAGAAACCAGAAACGACATAAAACGAAACTTTATCACGATAGGGAACAGCTTCCACAACAACTACAATACATATCCAGGCATTTTTTGAAAAAATAAATGTTTCACATCTATCAAAAACCGTAATTTAGAACAAAAAAAACTCAATAAAACGTTTATAAATAAACACACATCACAGATGGTTGACGGTTGACCTATCCCGCCATATTTAATTAACATCAGTCAGTCACTTCGACAGATATCCAATGTAGCTAATAGCATTTTCGATTTTTGCCTCAAAACTGCTCCAGATTGCTCCGTCAAATTAGATGGATCATAGAACAGAAACAAAACATGTCGTGGAAAATAAAAATCGAAAATTTTTAATTTCGTTTTAAATGAAGTCGACGGAAAAATCTTGTAACTAACTCATATATTCTACTGTTAAAAATAAGATAGTATTTTTCGTTGTTAAGTTGACTTGTATAGTTACATTTGCAATTCTTCAAAAAAAAAGTCTCGCTTATGCAAAACTCTAAATTAGTTTATTCCTTTGTTACTTATTATTTTCTCTGATTTTACCTTATTAAATTTGTTTTGAAAGCTATATGTATTCCACTTGTCTTGAGACTTTATTAGAAAGTAGCCCTACTTTTACATTTTTCAAAAACATATTCAAATTATTGTGTAAGTCATTGTAATAACATGCGTGTACTTTTTTTCCAAAAACACAATCGAATTTTTAAACTTCTGCGAAAATGCGAGCAAGGACTATTACGTCAGAGTCCCTCCAATCAGTAAAAATGCTAGGATTACGAATTTCTCATAAGCACATCATTCCAAAACATGACTGCGTCGAATTAGTATTTTACACGAAGCGGAAACTTAGTAAACCGCAACCTATTTGCGTCCTTTACAACGGTATACAAATATAAAAGATAGGCATGATCGGTGAACTCTTTGTTACTTAATACTACAATGAACTCGAATGTTTGTCTCCATGTTCCCTGATCTTTCTTAAAATCTGTATCTCTAGATGTCATTAGCAATAAAGATGATATTTAAATTTTTACTAAAAAAATCTTAGAAAAAGAAGGGAAAAAATATACCTAATAGTTTTAGAGTTATACAGGGTGTCCACTTAGTGCGATATCGGACGATATCTCCTTACAGGGTGATGCAAGAAAAAAAAGTTAAATTACAAAGTTGTTTGATAATCGAATATGCATTAGTTAAAAATATTTTTGATTATCCTACAGAGGGCTCGGTTTTTGAGGTTTGCGACACAACTTTGTTATTTTAAATGGAACACCCTGTATGTGATCACATATTTGGATTCTACGTAAAATTCTGAGTAAATTTGATGTGATATACCCTTTACCTAAGTTCAACTGTTTTGAAAATATTGACAGTTGGAAATTGACGTTTTGCAACTTTGACAGGCTGTAAAACCTAAGCGGTTAATTTTAGACGAAAACCGATTTCACATTCCAACCTTGGATTTTTATAAACTATCATTAGACACCAACTTTGAATTTAATCCACGATTAAAAATTCCAATTAAATTTAATTTCTGGTTAAATTCAAAGTTGGTATCAAATGAAAGTTTATGAAAATCTAAGGCAGGAATATAAAATCCGTTTTCCTCCAAAATTAACCGTTTAGGTTTTACAGCCTGTCAAAGTTACAAAAAGTCAATTTTCAACTGTCAATATTTCCAAAACAGTTGAACTTAGGTAAAGGGTATATTACATAAAATCTACTCAGAATTTCAAGTAGAATCCAAATATGCGATCATATACAGGGTGTTCCATTTAAAATAACAAAGTTCTGTCGCATACCCCAAAAACGGAGCACCCTGTATATTCAAAAATATTTCTAAGTAATACATATTTAAGTATCAAACAACTTTGTAATTCAACTTTTTTTTCTTGCATCACCCTGTAAGGAGATATCGTCCAATATCGCAGTAAGTGGACACCCTGTATACGCACAGGGTGTCACATTTTGGTTGTACATAAAAGTGAACTTGGATGGAGAAGGATCTGATTTTCGCGAAAGTTGGCTACTTTTTTGTCAAAGGAAAATGCCCTCAACAGAATTGTCATTGCTCTTTTTGTTTTTCAAATAGAAAGTGTTTTTGAAAATGTTGCATTTTGGAACACTTCTTGTATCTGGGCTCTCATGAGTCATCGAAGAGGTGAACCGGGTTTCAGCTCTTCTCTAGCAGTGAATAGTTTTTAAATTATAAACCAAACATTCATTTTTTCGAATAAGACACCTTGTAAGTGTTATATTAACTCATTGGATAACTCTGCTTTTGCTAATTTCAATATTTGGTTTGATAAGTGTATCTCTTACAGTTTTCGAGAAGAAAGAGAATATCTGTTTTTTTCATAAGAGACATTAGTTGTATTCCCTTCAAGAGTTTGAAACACTCAAGCTACTCGCTTTGGTGTTCAGTCGCCCCTCGATTTTCAGGGAACAGATGCGTGGTGCAACAAACACTTTTCGAAAGGAATAAGCGCGTGAAGCCCCGGAGCTGTTCCGGAGCTCCTTCTAGGTGTGAAAGGAATACAACTAATGTGTTAGAAAAAGGACTTTATATCATGAGTCAATAATATACAGGGTGTCTCATTCTCATTTGAGAAAAAAAATTGTTTGGCTTATAATTTAAAAACTATAACTTTTAGAGAAAATCTGACTACGCTACTGGAATCTACATAGCAATGAACTACACAAACACGCTGGAAAGGCGGCTGCATAATTGTTTCTATGCGAGGAGGGTTTATGTCACGAAGGACAACAAACAAGAGGGATTTGCATCTCTCTCTGGACTATGGCGGCAATTAGGCAATTCAAACCACGTGACATTCAAGATGGCATAGCGGCCACACATGGACCAAAAAACATACAAAATTATCTAGTTTCTGCCCAAAAAAAAATAGTTTCGGTACATAGTCAACAAATATTTTATTGAATAATCAAAATCAAGGTTGCAAGCAAAACTCCAAGCATAATAATTTAAAATACGCATAAAAACATATTCAAAACAAACTTGCTTGGCCGCCACGCCATATTGAATTTTCCATTTTGACAGATGGATTGAATTGCCTAATTGAGAACCAATGAACTATAGCCAAAAACTGGAATGCGCACACATTGCCATATCTGCCAAAAAAATGTAGCCATGAAAGATAGATGCCATAAGGGGGAATGTTGTTTTTTTCTGTTGCTCGCTGACATATGACGTTTTCGAAAGATTTGTCATATTTTCCTTCACAGGTTTCATCAATTGGAATACGTGTTGGAAGCAATTTCCGCCATTTAACATAATGAGTGCAACAGAAACAGGTTTCCCCTCCGCAGCAGCGGCACTAGGCTTCATGTTCGTCAATATGTGTACGCATTCCAGTTTTTGGTTATAGTTCATTGTTGAGAACAGCTGTTTGAAGTGTTTGGATCATTGAGGTTAGGAAGATGAAGAAGCTCTTCTTCCTTTTACATCAATCGCAATGAGTGCGAGCGAGACGCAAGACTATAATCCCTCCGTATTGCTGGGTTGCATATATCCAAATTTGGCACACTAGTATAAAGCAGTGCGCCCGTTCCTGAGTGTTTGTTTAGTTCCATGGTAGAAAGATCTATGAGAACCCGTTATCAACATTTTCAGAAACACCTTGTATTTCAAAAACAAAAGGACGATGACAATTTCGTTGACGGCATCTTTCCTTTGACAAAAAAGTAGCCATCGTTCGCAAAACCGCATTTAAGCTCCAATAGCAACAGAGTTATCCCTCATTTACAAGCAAAATGAACACTCTGTACATATTTGTTACATTATTATTACAAAAAATGCCAAGTTCAAATTATATTCAATTTGCACCAACTAATAGGAAAAAACGTGGCTTCCGCGCTTACAGTCGATAGAATGCAAATTTTGCATTTCTAATGTGACAACAATGGAATATCGACTTCGGCCAATGGGATGAGGGCGCTTTCAGTCACGTGATTCTTTGTTTAAATTTGCTATTTTTATTGAAGTGAGCACGATTAAATCGAGACTCCCTCTAGAACAAATTTCAGCGACGTTGCCGATATTATTGACAAGATTTTAATTGCTTGTAAAGGTTGTCTGGTCTGGTAATGGCAAACAGATGACGTCACTAGGTGGTTCTTATCGACATTTGCATTATGTTTAGGCATCTAGCTGACGTCATAAAAGTTATCAGGCAACCTCCCTCTTTCAAACAACCTTGATCACACAAATGCCAGGAATCAATATGGCGGCAAAGGTCAAGCATTTGAAGCACGATCTCACTTCTGTTGTGTGGTCTTAAACGCACACCGTATTTAAACTTTTTATAGGTACTTTTTCAAGCAGGATCCAATAAAACGTACTCAATAGGACACTCTATAGTAGCTTCATTCGATATTAGTCTCTTTGCTTTTACTACTTGGACCGTTTTATGTCTTTCTCTTTTAGATATATAGTAACAAAGTCGTGACAGAATAAGACAGTAAGCATCCAGACATGTTAGAAAGTTAAAAATTCAGCAGGTGCTGGATAGACGGCAGGTGCAGCGTAAATTTAGTATTTTCTTGTTCCCGTCTATTATTTTATTGCATTTAATTTGCACTCTACTCTAGATTATATATTTCCGTCAGATAAGAGCCGCTTTCCAGTATGCACATTGGCGCGCTCTGGCGCACTCTAGAGCACCTCGGGGGCGCCACGCACTAGATTTGTACCGTTCCACTATCATGGCGTGAGACGCCTGTCTTAGTGTCAAATATGTCAAATTTTAAAAATAATTATCTGTTTGTTTGTGCAGTTTGTTTTTTTATTTATCAAAAATGAAAGAGAATCAAAACTATATATTTTTAAATGTTCAATCTTGAGATATAACAAGAAATAAATAGATAAATAGCCACCCACGGATGTGACAGCTGATAGGTTGGCGCGTACGTACAGGGGCGAGTTCAGGAATGACACACTCAGTGTGAGTGTGACACCGGTGCGACGCATTAGCCGTTCATAAATGCTATAGGCACACCGAGTGCGCGCACTCTGTGCCGTTCAGAAAGTACTTTGGGCGCGCTCCAGGTGTCGCACCGGTCACACCATAATTTTTTGGTGTGGCTGCGGTGTGATTGTGTCTTTATGTCAACAATGTCAACCATTCCTCCCATAATCTCAATAATCTCACCAAATATAAACAAAACACAAATAAGAATGAAAGTTTTTCCTTCAAATTAAAAAAATGAACAACAAAAAAAAGTAATCCTAATAGATTTTGTGAAATTTTTGAGGAGATGCTCGATTGGTCACACCAAGCGTTCAGAAATTCATACGAAAGTTCTCGCCTAAGAACTGTCATTTCAGTCACACCCATAATATCGCACTCACACCCGGTGTGTTATTTCTGAACTCGCCCCAGCTCGGGAGCTCAACGCCCCGAGTAGCTCCGGGCGTCACACTCCCATACTGGAAAGCGGCTAAGGCAACACTAATAGCGATTTCCATTTGTCGAACCAGTGCAAAAAAAAATGTATCACAAGGCGTTTTTTCGCGTCCACTTTTTTGAAACTGGTTCAAAACTGTTTTGAAAAACTACATTCTCGCGATAAACCAATGACGTCACGTCAAAATTAATTCAAACCGTTTCGAAATACAATCCACTCCACGTTTTCAAACCATTTTCTCGCGCCGAAAAATTATGACGTCATGGTGACATTACTCAAACCAGTTTTGAAAAATGTTTTGAAACATTTGAGACGCGAGAAAACGCCTCATATCTCTACATGTTAAGGCCATCCCAGGCAAACCTGCATAATTGCATAGCATAGGCGCATAAGGAATTCGACCAATCACAAGCTGAATAGGAACAGCCATATTGCTTTTGCATAAGATTTTCCATAAAAATGAAAAACCTAAGGAGCGCGGCCAATCAAAATACGTCGGGGCAAGTCACGTGATTTTTGACTTTGACATGACATGATTATATTTAATAATATTTATGTTTTTTTTATGAAAACACTTAAATTAACGAAACCTCAAGTGCCTAATTCACAGTGAAAAAATTACAAAATCAAAATTTACAATCAAATAAACACAAACGGAACAAACAAAAACAACTCATTTCATAACCTACAAAATAAATGTTGATGGATGACAAGATTGCCTTAATTTGATTGGTCGAACGCTCTATAGTTTAGGTTTTGTGTGTTTTGTCTGGTTTTGCATAGACCATTATTACGTATGGTTATGCGCCATGCTATGCGTTATGCAAAGTTGTCTGGGATGGCCTTTACATGCTTTTAGAAAAAGATGGGGATACACTCAGTGCGCACTGATTGACAAATGGAAATCGCCATAACACTGTGTTAACACTTGAACACGCCCATAAATGCCTAATGCTTGACAGGTGACGTATGTCATGTGTCTGACAAGAATTCCCCAGAATTTCCCATTTTTGCGCTGTGTTTAATCAGTTAAAGTGAATTAATAAGCCAAATAATAAAGTTTGCAGTACACACCGAAAATAAAATGTCCGAAAAGGCTCCTGACGAAATGTATCTGAAAAAGCTTAGGCTGGCATCCGACGTCCAGGCCACGTGCCTCACACACGTGCTGACAACAGAAAAACCAGTAATTGGAATGCTGATCGGCGATTTGGATCAAGAAAAATGCGAAGCCTACATATCAGCTTGTTTGATAATGCACAGCACTGAAAAACAATTAGCCTCGAACAAGGGGCAAATAATATCTCCGGAACAATTTTCTGACGCTCTCAAGCACGCCAGCCACCTTTCTGCTACTCTTGAGAGGCCCATGAAGGTTATAGGATGGTACCGTTCGCATCGTTATCATACTCTTTGGCCTAGTTTTGAAGAGTTGAAAACCCAAGCTGATTATCAAGTGATCACCCCATTGTTTGTTGGCTTGATTTTTGCCGTTGACAAAGGCGGCCCCGAACTTACAGCACCCACCCAGATGCAGATTCACTTGGCATGTTTCCAAACCGAAACTTCGGAATCCGGCGAATTGAAACGACGAGAGGTACCATTGTTTATAGAAAAATCTGCATGGAATGTTCACAATTTAGAAACTATCGCCGATCTTCCGAGATTGCTTTTCGAAGAAGTCAATGAAACCTACGGTTCTACTGATGATGAAACGTCTGATCCGATCGAAAAATTGGAAAAGGATGCCTTGAAAACTGTAGCTTTGGTTCATGTTGTTTCTAAAGTGACCAGGCCTATTTGTGAAGCTTTGCATGCAAGGCTTGAAACAATAAAGCCAAGGATCGAGGAGCTGGAACGTATTAAAGCTGATTTGTTGGCCGATAAGAAACCCTCGGAGAAACCTGAGGAGAAACCCGAGGAGAAACCTGAGGAGAAACCTGAGGAGAAACCCGAGGAGAAACCTGAGGAGAAACCCGAGGAGAAACCCGAGGAGAAACCCGAGGACAAACCCGAGGAGAAACCCGAGGAGAAACCTGAGGAGAAACCCGAGGAGAAACCCACATAATTAAATAATTATTTTTTCTTCATTTTCTGTTTCATTTCTATAATAAGTTTTTTTTTTTAAAGTTAGTGTTTCCTTATTTTTATGAGCCGCACAGCTTTTTTGTACTTAGTATATAGAGTAGTTAAGAATTCTGTAATTACTGTAAAGGGTGAGACTTTTTGGGTGGCCTTATTTCATGGAGCAGGCTGAATAGCTGTTGTAGCGAATCAATTTTTTTTTTCCAAAAAGGTACCTTGCAATCCAACCTAAAATGTCTCGCCCTGTACTTCTTGGCAATGTAGTTGCATAAATAAATATTTTTCAAACCAACAGTCTTAGTTTTTTATTTGTCTTTCGGGTACCTATAGGTGAGAGGCGATAATGAGTATGAAGATTCAACTGTAATTTGTTTTAATAACCAACTTATGATGTGGGAGGCATAAAAAATGAGACAACAGCTCTAGTAATGAAATTGGTTTATTTTAAGTATTAAAAACATTAAAATTGCCTAGAATAATATAGACTTGACAATAGGCCACTTTCACATGCCGGGAATATGGCAACAAGGAGAAGTTCTTCCCAGCTTTTGGATCATAGTCAAATCTTTTAACACTCGATTTGTTGTTTAGAGTTATTGCTACCTATTAAATTTTGGTTGAAGCTTGATTCCTAATGTCTTGACTACATTCAACCTAATTCCCGACTAGAATAATAATGAGCGATTCACAAAGTTATTTAAACTCTAAAAAAATAAATTTTCTTAGGTACATCGAACTTCCAATAGAACTCATCACCCACACAGTACTCCATGAATTAGCCAACAAGTGCCCCAACCTCACGCACATGCTCCTAGATTTCTCCACCGCTATGCAACTTCACGACTTCAGCGAACTTCAAGCGTTTCCTACAAAATTGAAGTACCTTTGCATTTGCCTGTCTGAAGTAATCTTCATGGAAGGCTTCATGAGAAAAATTTACAATTTTATCAACGGTTTGGAGATTTTGCATTTGATCGGTACTTACGAGAAAGTCGAAGAAGAAGAAGAAGAAATCTATGAAGTCATTAACGTGCACAGGCTGAAGAGTGCAACGCCCAATTTGAGGGTCATCAATTTGTATGGGATTAATTTTGTTGATGATACACATATCGATGCATTTAGCTCCAATTGCATACAGGTGCAAATTTTCCAAAAATATATTTTTAGACATTATAAATCACCTATTTATTTTTAGTTGGAATGTTTGGCTGTCAATTATTGCAACAAAGTTACTGGCAGCACCTTGAAAACGTTGTTCCAAAGAAGTAGAAGGCTTACTTGTCTGCTGATGAACGGAACAAGTATTAAAGCAATGTGAATTACAAAACCCAAATTTTATGGGAAAGGCAACCTGGTAGTCAATTGGATTTTGTAATTTACATTCCTATAAAATATCAATTAAACTTAAGTAGGGTTGATAAGACAGAATATACATGGTTCAAAGAATCTACGGATTATCTTAGTATTGAAAAGTCACCTAAACCTTAAAAATGCAAAAGAAGCCACAAATCAGCTAAAAAACTATCAAAACATTATGACTCTTAAAAAGGTTGAAAGCTGAAAACATTTTTAAAAAAATTAGAAAGAAAAAATGGATGATATTCTAAAAATCTAGGAGTCCACTCGGTTTTTTGTCATAATTACACCAAACATTTACCATGCAGTTTTTAAATAATTTTGATGGCTACATTTTTCAGATCTAAAAAGTGAACACCTAATGCAAGCAGACTGGGAAAAGTGTTCATTACAAGAACTGGACATAACAGCAACGGATCTATCCACAGAGTGTTTACAAGACATGCTAACACGTTTGCCAGGCTTGAGATTCTTGAGCGCTGGGCAAATAAATGGATTCAACGATTCCGTATTGAAAACGTGGATGGAAAATGGTAATCCCAAAAATCTGGTAGGTGAAAGTTTCGGACGATAAAGTGTAGTTAAAATTTAATTTTCAGGTCGCACTAGATCTGGACAGTTCAGACAATTTATCTGAAGATGCTATATACAAATTTTTATGCAAATATGGCCATCAGCTCCAAGGTCTTGGCTTATCTGGTATGACCCACATAACAGATTCACTTTTTCAGTCAATTCTACCAATATTACAAAACGCTGCGTAAGTCTTGATTGATATATTCCGTACTTTTGATAATTTTAAAAATGTCTAGAATATTGGTTATGGGTACACAAGAACGTCTTGGAGTCAATATACTAGCTGATCAGCTTATCGATAGTATTGCCAAAAGTTGCAGTAACTTAGAAAGGCTGGAACTGAGATGGGATCCAGAAAATCTGAGATTTTCTGATAAAAGTCAGAAAGCCATAGATACTTTGAGAGTTAAGTGTCTTAAGTTGAAATGTCTTAGCTTAAGGTATGTGCCTGGTAAATTTGAACAATCACCATTGAAATATTTCTCTTTCAGCGACGGCCGCTATTACGAAATTGTCAAAGCCAATTTTGAACGTGCCGACAGAATGACAGTAGTACGAACATTGACTAATTGCAGAGTATCCAACTATTACCTTCTCTCAAACTACAAGGACCTTGTATTCAACTAAAATTTCCTTTCCAAAGATGATTTCAATCCTACACCAACAGCACTTCTCCATAATCATTTGTTCCTTCCCAGGATATGAACTTTGTTTTGATTTGAACAATAGCCCTTCTTGATAGAACGGATGGTTTGCATTCTTGTTGTTGTAGTTATTCAATTGTCTTTAAAATAAATTTATTCTTATAGGTAGCAAGCTAAAAACAAATTCATGTTGTAATTTTTATTGCCCTTGGCCTAATTGAATCAAATATTTTTGACGCCCAGAAGTTAGGGGGTCGAATGGATAGAAAAATTTTATCTTGGCAAAAGCCTTCAAAATGGCAGGCTTTATAATGCGTAGGTGTTGGGAGTTTTCTAACATCGAGGTACTGAAGTCTCTGTATTTTTCATTGGTGCGAAGTCACCTCGAGTATTGCTGCATAGTTTGGTCGCCATGTTACCAAACCCATATTAAGCGCATTGAACGTGTTCAAGGGAAATTTGTCAACTTCCTGTTGTACAAACTTGGAATTGACAAAAGTCAGTTTTCACACCAAGATCGTTTGCAACTACTAAATATCGATAGCTTGGAGATGCGTAGGACATTTCTGACAATAATGTTCGGGTTCAAAATACTAACCAATAATGTGAACTGTCCAGAACTTTTGGCACTTATAAACATTCGTGTACCTCCACGCGATACGCGTTTAAATGGTATGTTTTCAACCAATAGAAGCCGGACTGATGTTGGTAAAAATAGTGTCATGAATCGCATCATGCATCTCTTCAACACACATATTCCTGCGAATTTTGAATTCAATTGCACCCCAATTACATTCAAAAATCAACTGAAATCAATATTAGCAAACCTTTAACGATCATAGATCGGAGGCATTTCGGTGACTCCAAATATGGCAGTATGGATCTTGACTCTCTGTGAAAATGAGTTGCAGCGCCGATATAGGAAAGGGTGCCATATGTATGTACCTATTGTATTGTGTTTATTTACTTTTATTTGTATTTGCCTTGTATTAATTGTTGTGATCATATGTATAGCACAGTTTTGTTTTATTTTTTTGAAAAAGTTTGTCATAGATATAAGTATACCATTTGGAGTTTGCTCTGTTGTGTATTAAACAATAAATAAATAAAAAAAATAAGTAGGATTTTGAATCAACTAGTGTGTATTGCAGTTTTTCTTAAAAAAAAAGTTATTTATTATGCAAGATTGTTGATTTGAATAACTCCATCCAAAACAGTTCTACTTCTACTGTGCAGTTCAAGAATTCATCCCTAGTGCTACTTTGACTCCCCCAGTCGAGGATCTACTGTCTGTAAAATTGTTTGTGACTGCTGTGAAACCTAGTAAGAAGCAATAACATAAACTTTGCATTTGTCATAATGTATCTTTATTAATTTCAAATATAATTTAAACAAAAAGAAATGAGTTTCATTTCCCAACGGCATATGTGCACAATATGATGGTAAACTTCTGGCTGTGACAGATAGTTCAAAAAATGCCACACTATGTCTAACTTAATAAATTAACAACAAAATAGAAACAAAACATTTGGTTTGTTTTAAAAAAATTGTTGAACTTTTTTTTTTATTAAGCTATACTTAAGTGGTGTCTTTTTGTACAAATTTCAATATATACAAATAGTTCGCAAATAAATAAAATCTGCGATATCCAGGAACATTAGGGCTGCTAATTTTAAACTGCTGCAAAATTACTGCTCATCAGAATGTGTTAGTGGTATACCAACAAGTGAAAATATTCACCGAACTATAAAATGCAATATAGCCTCAGACTATTCTAGTTACCTTAATTAAAACTAATAAAACAACAAAACATGTATAACAAAAAAAAACGGCTTAGAAGGCATAGCAATAAATAACCATCATAATGTTCCGCAATATCGCCTTAACAAAACAACATTAATATCTAGTTGCAAATAAACAATGAAACTTAAAAAAATATATTGACTTTGAAAAAGAAATTTATATTTACATTCGTGCTTAGGCATTTTTCTGCTTTGCCACTTTGCTTATAGTAATTTCTAAAAACACTGCAAACTGAGATGCACAAGGTCATTAAACATTTCCAGTCGCTATTTCTTTCACAAGCCCTTCGTACGATAATGAAAGAACCGCAATAAGCGAAAGTGAAACCCTAAGCCATGGAAATTCCTAATATTGCTAATATACAACATGATGTGTACTCTTTATAAAACATTGCAAATCGTTTGTTGTCGAAAACTGTTTATACTCTAAGGCTGAACCCTATTTTTCATAAATATGAGCTTTTTATAAGAAGATAATAATAACAATTATTCAGAATTTGCTATCAATTTCTCCTAAAATTAAAAAAAAAAAAATACTCCAAGGAACGCACGACTATAACATGTACTGATATATAATTTATTACACTTTACATAAAAGAAAAATAATTTGAATATACATAGGTATAGGTATACATGATTTTTTTATCCTCCAAATTGCCCCAACTAGGAATTTATTGATTATCAAACTAAAATTCTTGCTCTCACTTCAAATAACTTCTGAAGTTCCTGCAGAATGCATAAATTGCAAAGAAGAGCATCTTGCCCGAGAAGATCCAGCGGAAACGATGCAAATGTTAGTACATAATAATATGAAGAAAATACCAATATTCTCAAGAAAAACAACAACCTTATAGGGAAAAAGTAAAATCCTGGAATTTGATCATACAAAAAAGGTAGCAGATTCCCCTTTCCCCTACGATTAGAAGAAGTTAAATTAAATTTTCATAAATGCCTTTTTTGTATGTCATTAGACAGACAAAATTTTTATATGAGGAATTTGAAGTAATTTAAGATACGAACAAGCACTTTTCTACATTCCCATCCTGCATTAATCGGCAAAAGGCAAAAGGAAACCTCTGCCTACTACCGCTACCGACTCATCCTTTTTCATTGGAAAATAATTTTATGTTTTACATCGTTATTGTGTTTTCCTAGTTAAGTATTACCCTGTGTATGTCCCTGTAGTTATAATTTAAATTAACAAGAAGAATGTCTGTCAATTCTACTGCTGTAAAAGTGATAGTGAGAGTGAGGCCTATGGTCAAAACAGAAATTGATAGAGGATGTCAGGAAATAGTTAAAGTTATTCCCTAAAGCGAATAACTTGAACTTAAATCCCTTGACAAAGTCTTTACATTCAATAGACCTATCTATTTTTACCTGGTATGCGCGCGCAACACGAGGCAATGTCTTTTTATTGGCTAGCTAATACAGGTGTGAGATGATCGTTTTGCACGCTGGACATCTCTTTATCCTTCTTCATTGCACGTGGTCTGACAAGAATAAATCTAAAGTTGATATTCAACTTGACAAGTGTCATTCAAAAGTTGTTTGACATTTTCATTGACAAATACGTTGCACAACACGCGGTTTTTCTCCTTTCCTTTTTATCCTGTGCAAATAAGAAGGACGGATTGCTATACGTAAGTCTAACATAATTTGGCACGTTTTGCCTCGTCTTGCGCAATGAGCGTTTTGTGTCTTTTTTTATTTAATGAAGTTTTCGTATTATTACCTCTTTGTCTGGTAAAATAGATAGGTCTATTATGTTTTGGGAAGTAACACTGAGCAAGATGAGCTTTATAATAGATGCGTAGAGCCATTACTCAAGAGTTTATTTGAAGGCCTCAATGTGACTATCCTTGCATATGGACAGACAGGATCTGGTAAGACTCATTCGATGGGAACTGCCTACAGCAAAGGTGAAAATATAGACGTCATCCCTAGAGCTGTCAATGAAATATTCGACACTGATGAAGATCAATGTTCTTTCGACTTCACTATCACTGTCTCCTTTGTGGACTTGTACCGGGAGATTCTATATGATCTTATGTCTGAAAAATCAAAGGATCAGTGTATATTAGAAATACGTGAAAATTTAACAAAAGGCATACACATTCAAAATTTAACAGAAATTCTTGTTGACGCTGCACAAGAAATACTTGATGTCCTGATTAAAGGATCTCAGGGGCGAGCAGCTGCATCAACCAACATGAATGCCACAAGTTCGAGGAGCCATTCAATTTTTATAGTTAACCTTGCAATGTAACATAAAGTTGAGAAACATCAGAACAGAACTGCAAAACTACACTTGGTCGAGCGAGCTGGCTGGCTTAGAAGGACCTAAAAAGACTGGTGCAAGTGGCACAATATTCAAAGAAGGCGTTGACATAAATAAAGGGGTCTTTGTGCTGGGCAAAGTTATAGGGGCTCTGGGGAATGAAAAATCGCAGAACAGTTTTGTTCATTACAGAGACAGCAATTTAACCAGACTTATTTTGGTGGCAACAGCGTCACACTGATGATTGGCGTGCATAAGTCCAACAGATTATAATTTAGAAAAACCGTTATCAACATTAGGGTATGCTGACTGGGTCAGAAATATCAAAAACAATCCTATTGTGAACCAAGATCCAAAACCCGCGCAAATCAACGACTTGAAGAAGCAGATCAAGCTTTCACAGTTGCAGATTGTTAGCCAAGGTGAGCCAATGATAACAACTACGGAGATTGATCAGCTAAAAGCCAACAACCGAGAAATGAATGCTTAATTATCTGCAGCATTGTTGGACAAAACCGAGCTGCACGATAAAGTCAACATGGTCGAAGGTCCACATACTTCAAAGCGCCAGTAAAGTGTGTGACAAAAAAGTATTGAAACTCAAGAAGGATTTCAGGGCAGCATCGACCAATTCAGAATTACGTGTATCGTTCCTGAATATTCTGTGTTTGAGCATGTTAATGTGAAAAATATCAGTTGTGCCGGGCATCATTCCAAAGAGGATTTTTTTTTGTCTCTAAATAAAGGATTATTATTACAATATTATTACATAATAAAATTGCGTTTGGATATGTTAAAAAAAAATTGTAAGCTCTGCTCTATATTGTGAAATTGATAAAATGCCTCATAGGGTATTAAAAGATACCATATCAAGATTGGCCCACGTCAACAAAAAAACATTGCAAAACTTATTGAGTTCCATCTACCAAGAACATTCGATTCATATCTAATTATTTGTTTATAGTATTGCAAATACATTATTAACTTTATTTAACAGGTATTCAATCAACTTAAGAACAAAATAACAAATAAAAACATAACACCAAATTAATTTTGAATATTCCATATTTGCTGTCTCAATACATCCAGTCTTAAATCTCACTCTAACTAACCCTTCATTTACCAAGTTTATGCTTTCGTTAAACCGTTTTAACCGCTAACACGTTTTCGAACTTAAAAAAGTTTTATCCGGTATTTATACTTCTAAGGGTCTCTCCTCAAAACAGTTTCTAAATGTCATAACAAGCAGTGCTGGCACCACCCTTAAAACGGTTTTAGATATTTACACAGTATTTAAATTGGTTTCAAATTAGTTAAAAGACGTTTTCAAAATGTTTTAGATCAAAACGGTTCAACGAGATAAAACGGTTTATGGGGTGTTTATACAAACGTTTTATAGTAAAACGTTTTCTGTTAAAACAATTTAACGGTAAGCATAAACGTGGTAATTGTTTTTTGCAACGAAAATATTGAAAATTTAATCTGGCTACAGAAATTTTCAAAGTCAATATGATAAGAATGTTAATTGATAACTAAACTCTCCCAGATTCCTTTTTTTTTTAATTAATAAACTAACCCTAAATCACATTTAGTTTATCACTGGTTATCAGGCTCTCCCACTATTAATGCCCGCTCAGGGTTTTCCTCTTGGCGCCTAACAACTTCCTCGCTTTCTACTAAGTGTAAAATTTCGTGACAAAGAGGACATCTATCTTGCACATAGAGCCACTTTCGTAAACAGACGCCGTGGAAGAAATGTTTGCATTTAGTTATTTTTGCGCTAAGCATTTCTTGGTAACAAATCGCGCACACATCGTCCAGGTTTTCCAATTGGTCCTTTTCAGCTTCTGGAAGGCTTTCGATTTTATTAACGGCCGACCGACGTTTCATGAAAACAGACCAGCCAGCCTTAGCATCGCACCAAATATTGAAATAAGCATGAATGCACATCATTATAGCTCTAATAGCACTTCCGCTTTCAAATAACAGAATCCAGGCACCGTTGAAAAACAGGAAAATACCAAAGCAAAACTCGATCGTGTTCCCAAATGATCTGATGTAATAAATGTAGTCATCCATTTTTTCCCAAAAACTTTGCCTTTTGGCATCATATAGGAACAAACAATATATTGCCAGGGACACGAATACTTTAACAATGACTTCAATGCTGAATGCTGTAACTGCTAGCAGCCATGTTGATGTTTCCTGTGTTGTCCATAGTACATACATCAAAGCCATCGATAAGAATACCAAAGCGACACAAACTATAAGGGCGTGGGCATGTCTTCTTATAGAAGGATTATGAGAAGCACTCAAACTCATTAGCAAGGGATTAACAATGTTATGAGTAAAGTGAAGCAATGCAGTAAAGAGTAGACAAAAGTTGCGACATAGTCTTACAAATCTCACTTCGGGATCAAGCCCTGTTAATCCAGTTTGTAGTGCTAAAATATAAAAAACTATGGCAGATACGGTTCCAAAATTTTTGTCATTTTCATCGTCGGTTAGAAGAATCCATTGGAAAAACTTCCCTACGTAATTGCAGACATAAGACACGATGCTAGTCAATCCAAGCACTGCAGTTAGCGTGTCACAGCCAGTTATTAATAAATATTTCATTATTCTAAAATATGGAGAATTTCCGTCATCAATATCCCAATATCCATAATATAGGAAAAATAGTACTGTATGTTCCGAGGTTCTTATTAGCCAAAAAGTGCGTAAAACTTCAGGTACGTTGAGACGCAACCATTCATTTTCAACTAAAGCTGATACCCCAAAGTTCGTAATAAATGTTTTGGCTTGTATGTATCCTGCATACAGTGAATTTGAAATAGCCATAAATGAGGACCACAGCACAAATTTTATTATGGCTATTGGCAGTAGTGCTGACACAATTGGACTATATCTAAGTAAAGATTCTGAAACTGGGAGAACTGATAAAAAAGATGGAATCATAAATGAGATCGGCAATAGCTTTTGAATTGTTGAGTATCGAGGTCCCAAGTGGATATTTAGGAAAATGAAGGCTATAATGGTTTGCAGGACATAGTTTTCGAGTACCTGGGTCATCCAGCCATGTTCTTCCAGTAACTGCCTGAGGTCAAAGTTGAAGATGAATTGTAGAGGTGGTATAGTTTCGTTCACATGATCTGCGTTCATCATTATCGTTTTAACTGTTCGAATGTTGGTGAAGTATGAGGCCGTTACTAATCCTATCGACATAAGGTACAAGTAGACTACCATCAGGTGTTTTGAGTTTAGCACAAACATGCACATTGCTGACACACATCCTAAAAAAAAAAAAACAATTTAAATACCAAAATTAAAATCAATATTCTAAAACTTGTCTGAAAATTTGGTCATACTAATAGGACTCAGACCAAAGCTTCACTACTATCAATGGCTATCAAGAGTAAAAAATTCATTTCTGCAATATCAGTTTATCTCATGAATAATTTTAGATGATTAAGCAGTATTTGTTTGAAGCCGATTGAAAATTTGGGTATGGATGTCAAGTGTGAACAACTATACAACCCAAATATTTATTAAAGGGTAGCATCAAAGGATTTCCATCGTTCGCTACTTTGCAATGGGACTCAATTATAGCCCTATGTATGTATTCCTTAAAAGATTTAAAACCCTTTAAAAGCGTTCGCGACATGTTAGCTTTTTTTCAATACACCAGAATAATACCTATCATTGAATTATATGAAAAAAATATACTCGAAGTCTGTTATTAAATAATCACTGAATATTAATTGAGGATAGGTGAATTTCTTGAAATGATTTTCGGAGAATATTGTTTGCTTTTATGAAAATAAAAACAAACATGACTAAGTCAAAAATTTAGATAAATGAGTATAATTACCTTTTTGGAGAAATATTCATGGCAAAACTAAATGGAACAATTTGAATATTTATCTAAATAAGGCTTGGTTTATTCACCTTCTGATAAACTCTCAGGTAAAGCAATCTGACGGATAAAAACGCAACCTATAATCCTATCCTATTAGTCAGCCAGTTATTTGTCAACCAATATTTATTTTATTTATTAATTTATTTCAAATTAACAAAAAATTAAATTTACAATTTACAACAAATGTGTTGCGAGCAATGAACCCAAAGGATTGTGTGTGTATGCTTTAAGGAAAACTTAGTATATTATTGACTTAAGCTCATTATAAAAAAAAAATGATAATAATATGTTATTTTATGTGAAATTATAATCTAAAAAATCACAATTACTTCCTAATTCAATATAGGAATAAGTAGTATTAACTTCAGAGATCCAGAAGTTTATTTTCTTTTTAGATCTGGTATAACACTTATTTTTAAATTTATTTAGAAGGATGCTACTTATAGATTTTGGGACTGATAAATGCAACATGTTTTTGAATTTTAGTATAGTGCATTCTAGGTTTGATAAGCTTGCCTGCATGCCTTGTAGAAACGTCTGTACTTTTGTAGGTTCATATTTGACCATATGAATAAAGTCTATCTTTAAATAAAATAATTTGTATTATGGTTTTTCTTATAACATTAACTGATTTGAGAGCTTTTTTGGATGCCATACAACCAATCCATATCCTATGACAGCTTTAACAAGATAATAATACACCATTTCAATAGGTTTTTGCTCGGGTTTTTGCTTAAGGATTTGGCTTGAAGAAAGTTGTAGTAATATATATACAGCCGTTTTCTTAGCTTACTTGTTACATATTCAATATGTTTCTCATATTTTAAACATTGAACAATAAAAACTTTTTACACAAACTTTCTTTTTGAGTTTAGTTGGACTTACATTCAGTGGCCAAAGCACATCCCATACTCCATGGATTTCCAAGATATCCATCTTTTCAAAAATTTTTGAAGCAATAATAGCAGACAAAATAACACCATTGTTTAACAATATACATAATAATACCCGAACAACATGGTTTTATGAAGGGGAAATCTACTGTCTCGAATTTATTGGAATTTGAACAGACTCTGTTTGTTGCTTTGGAGAAGGGGTATCAGGTTGATGTGATCTATACTGATTTCTCCAGAGCGTTCTACAGAGTTGACCATGAAATTATTAAAAATAAGCTAGAGTGCTTAGGTTTTCATGGCAGTTTTTTAAATTGGATTGTTGATCAGCTAACGGGTAGAAAACAAAGATTAAAAATAGAAAATATAATTTCAACAGAGATTGATATTATGTCTGGCGTTTTGCAAGGCGGCGAATGATGTCAAATTTTTTTTACAAATTGCCAATTTCTTGATTTTGCTGATGACAAAAAAGTATTTTTTATAGTTAAAAGCATTAACGACTCTGTTATTCTTCAAAATGAAATCAATCAATTTAATTTGTTGCAAATATTTTCTGACGTTTCTTAGAAATAGCCCTGTATTTCATAAACTAAAAGAAATTTGGGAACACTGTAAATGAGTCTTCAATTGGAATCAAAAAAGGCGACTTTTTCTAATTTAATCGACCTTGTACTCTTACCGTTTCGAATATAGCAATAGTGGTATCACTTAAAATATACAGCCTGTAGATGGCAAAAAGGACCAGACCAAGGAGCGTTCCTTATGGCACACCAAACTCCGCTGTAAATGCTTCACTTAGTTCATTCTTTATTCTCACCTTCTGAGGCCTTTCAATAAGGAAAGATTTAAATAAATGTAATTATTTTTCTCTTATACCAACATTATCCAGTTGTTCCAATATCCTGGTGTTATACAGTGTCAAATGCTCGGTCAAATGCCTCAGACAAGTTCAAAAATATTCCTATTGTTTTTAGGTTTTTGTTTAAATCATTCACAATTGGGCCTGTTACCCTACAATAGGATTATAGATCACCACTACACTAAGTTTAAGTAAAGATAATTTGATATCAAGGCAGCAGGAAAACCGTTTGAATATTTTTAAAAACAAAAAAATTATAGTGGACAATAATAATAACAACAAATGTAATGAATTTTAAATGTAGCCTTACTGACATCTGTCTGAATGACAGTTTATTAACTCCATCTGTGGAAAATACATTTTTGTGTCTCTGGATAGATAATCGTCTAAAATTTGTAGCACATTTGAAGTGTTTGAGGAATAGGTTGGCATCTAATTGTTTTGCACTTAAGAGTTATTTCTAGGGAACTGGAACCATGTATTGCCAGAAATACTTATTTTGCTTTGATGGAGTCTCATTTGAGGTATGGGCTGTGTTTCTGGGATACTTGCTCTAAGCAGTTATTTGATGGCATTTTTTTGCTGCAGAAAAGAGCAATTAGATATTTATGTGGAGCCAACCCACGCGATTCTTGCAGGTTGCTATTTATCTCTAAAAATATTATGACTCTTCCTGCATTATTTGTGTAAGAATCGGTCTGCTTAATTCACAGGAAACACAAAAGCAGGATATTCATATCGCATACAACCTATAATACTTGACAGAAAAATGATTTTAGCCTTCCTATACCCACTTCCAGCCAGGTAAGAGACTCTATCATTTTCAGAAGCCGCAAGTTGTTCAATCATATAAATACCGAACGATAGTTTCGTGAAGGGGTCAAGGTGCTGCTTGCTCAAAAGACATATTACAAAATTGACGAATTTCGGACAGGTTTTAGATTTTAGGTGTTTTTCTGGATTGTTCTATTTATAATGTGCGTTATAGTTGTTAATTTGTTTTCGAGTTTATTTTATTGCTCAAACTTCTGAATGTGTTGTCTTTTTTTTTTTTTTTTTTGTTTTATTTCTTAATAACGACTGATTTTTAGTTTTTAGGGCAATAATAATGGTAGATTGTGACAGGGACAGTATTGTTGTAACATAGTTTTTAAGGCATTTAAAAGATTTTTTCACATGTTATGATTATGACATAGTAAGTAGTGATGTTAGTTAATAAGGCTGCTTTGTCAGTAACAACTTAGTTAAGACAATAAAGCATAATTTGATTTGATAATAAGTTGCCATATTTTTTATTTTTTTTTTTGGTTTCAACAATTTGGAGAAAAAAGCAACTTTGCCAAATTGATTTCAAGCCAGCCTGAAAACAGTTTATATTTTTTCAAAAACATACACTGTAATTGTTTTAATACTCAATCAATTATAAATATACAATTTTGATTAAGTCATGCTTGTTTTGATTTTCATAAAAGTCAAGGAGTTGAACAATAATTGTGCGAAAATCATATATCATTTAAGTAAACACATTAAACTATCTATTCTCAATTAATGATTAATGGGTATTTAGTGATTAGCTAGTAATAACCATTTATTAGATGATTTTTTCTGATACAGGCCTTGGTAGTTGGTATGACAACAAGATGTTGTTAAGGTCGATGTTTCTGGCAGATTTGCTTTTTGGATTTTTCATTCAAAAATGAATTGGCCAAAAGCTATTATTGATGACTGTTTTGACTAAATAAGTGATGTTTTACAAATGAGCAACAAATAAATATATTTTTACTCAACTTTGAAAATGGTAGGAAATCTCTAAACTGTCCTTCACAACTTCAAACTTTTTCTGAGATAGCAATACTGGCCCTATGAAATAGTTGGGATAATTTATAAAAAAACCTCGAAAAAAACGTTATACCTACTATTTTTTATTTTATGTTAGAACTTGTTAAGTACCAGTTGCAATAATTATTGTTCTACTGTTTTAAGTTCAACAAAAAGTTGCTAATGAATATGAATTTTCCGAGGTATCCGTTATTTATTGTGGACCTAGGTCATAGGTGTTTTTGCTATTTGAGCTCGTGAAACATACTATTTAATTTTATGGTAGGTATAAAAAATTGTGAAAAACAATTTTCCAGCATTTAAATTTTGTCAAAGTTAGACACTAGTAGCATTTAAGAAGTGTGCTTCCAACTGAATCAATTCACATTGAATTTTGCAAATATGTGAATGCTTTTTGTTATAACTAATTATACAGGTTTGATTAGACTTTTGCTATGCCTTATTTGCTAGACAACAAACTTTTCAAGTATCACAAAGTAAGGATACTCTACACTCAAAGTGAAATAGCCTGGGAAATAAGTTAAAACTATCATGATTGCCACCTCTACCAGGAATAAAGTATTATAAGTTGAATAGTAAGCCAAAGAGTACTGAGAAATTAACTTTTATTAATGTCCCGGCCTGGACTTGGGTGGCTAAATATTATTCCAAAGCCAACAGCACAATAATTTTTTTTTGTTTTGCCTTGGAGCTCTTAGTAAAAAAACTAAAAATTCCACAAATCCTAGATTTTGATTTGAATAAACCTAGGTATTTATGACACGCTTTTGCATAAATTATTAAATGCAAAATCAAAGGCCAGGTAAATTAGTAAGTAAAAAAATACTAACCTAGAGCTCCTATCAGCAACTTTATCACAGATATCAGGACATATGTGGAGACCTTCGGATCGAAAGCAAAATAGGATGTTCCGTTGGCGAGTGCAGTTTCAATTTTCTCGTGTTTTTCGTTGAAGTATGTTAAATCTTGACCAGACAAATCGTCATAGTATCCGAGTCCAATTTTCAGTATTTCGTCGATCACAAATAAGGGGGGCACCCTCAAGAACACCTCCAGTATTGATAAAACTTTTATTCGCAGCGACATTTCATTGCAAATAATTTTATTTAATATTTTATGAGTTACTGCTCGATAGTTGAAGGGTATTTTAAATAATTCTTGAGCCTGCGTTTTGTTTTTTAGGTTTTCCACTTCCCGAGAAAAAATATTAAACAAATGTCATTTGATTTGTGTTCTATTATAAAAAAAAACACAGTTCAGTCGTCAGTGAAATGTCATTGCTGCCAACTGTCATTTTTGTTCATGTTTTCATTCGACTCCTTTGACTATTCCAAAAATTGTTGTAAAACAGCATTAAATCGTTACTATTTTTTGAACTGAGCGTCAAGAGCAATTTAATAACCTATATCTGATATTTTTTCCTTCAAGACTTGTGTTCAGAAAGCCAAGGTTTCTAATTTTAAATCTGGTGCAAACAAAACATTACAGATAAATGAAAACGCTAAGTTCAATATTATCAATTTACAGTTTCCTGTATAGTGTTGCTAGTGTCATCTAGCGGACGTTAGAGTAACTCGGCAGGCTGGGTAGTCAGTAAAATAATTCAAAATAATTATTTTTTCACTGTTTATTGTTTATAACTGGATTCTAAAATATATTAAAAAAAATTGGTTTTTGGAGGTCTCTGTGCAGCGCCCCGAATTACAGTGAAATTGCATTTTCACCGGATAATTTCAAAAAATTAGGTAAGTCTAGAAATCGGTTAACTACGATTCTTGGGTTACCTATTCAAATACGATTATTTATTGGAGGTGTCAAAGCAGATCTCAGATTCTAGAATAAAACCCTCATAATATAGGAGTATGTGATCGACTAGTATCGACTGGTCATAAGTTCCAAGCCCTGATTATTAAGAGGAGATATTTTGATAAATATTCCTGACAACGGGGTGACCAGGTATTTATTTCTGTATTAAATATGGAGAAAAAATTAAATAATCCTTTATCTATTGAACCATTGTATATTGAACCAAGAAACTTACAAGGTTTATGATAGGACAGAATACAAAACTATCAATAAAATCAATAATCATCAACACATACATACAGGGTGTCTGGAAATAAATGCAACAAAATTTGTTCAAAGATTCTTTACTTTTAAAATTCGCTCATAAAAATACCTAGGTAGTATTTTTTTATTTCTCAGAACCTTGTTGTTACGAGAATTATAAGGCGGAGGACCCCCTTTTAACACACTTTTACCACAGCTTCTTTTACTTTTAGGCTTTCAGGTATGTGTGCTTCAAAACTTTGGCTGACTATTTGAAATTTCCAAAACACATTATTCAGTTAAAAATCCCATTCAATTTAGAAATATTTTTGTCTCGCGAATTTTTTTCGTTAAACACACTGTTTTCGAGAAAACGTGATCGAATGCATATCAAGATTCCTATGAAATGAAATTGTAGTATCACGGCTCTGGGGTGTGTGACAGAAATCTTGGGTCCGTTTATTCCAAAATCAAAGTCTAATTAACACAACAATAATTTATTTCACGTTACTACACACAATAATTACCTACTTCACTAATTAAGAGCGGGCAGTATAAAACTATTTTGACAGATAACTAAAAGTTAACTTCTGGAATAACGTTACTTCTCATTGTAATTCCAGAAGTTAACTTTTAGTTATCTGTCAAATTGTTTAATAATATGTCTGTTTCTGCAGAAATCACAAACCAGTCAGAGCGAATTTCATTGGTTAAAAGTAGTCAGAAACAGTCAGAAAACTAGTTTCAACCAATGAAATTCACTCTGACTCGTTTGTGATTTCTGCAGAAACAGACCTAATACCCGCCCTAACTGAAACAACTCAACTCTTTACAACTTTACAATATTCACTATCTAAAACATATCACAGTCAATCTAAAATTGAAAACTACTAACTGATACCGGCCTTTATACAGGGTGTCCACTTACTGCGATATCGGACGATATTTCCTCACAAGGTGATGCAAGAAAAAAAAATTAAATTACAAAGTTGTTTGATATTCTGATATGCATAAGTCAAAAATATTTTTGAATATACAGGGTGCTCCGTTTATGAGGAATGCGACAGAACTTTGTTATTTTGAAGAGATCTCCCTGTATGTAATTGTATATTTGGATTCTACGTAAAATTCTGACCAGATTTCATGTGTTACCTAAGTTCAACTCAGAGCTGGGGTCGTTACTTGAAAAAAGTAACGCGTTACTTTACAGTTACTTTTGCTTAAAAATAACTCGTTACTTAAAATTTACAGTTACTTTCGAATAATGATAACTTTATTTTCGTTACCTATTGGAAAGTAACGCGTTACTGTAACTTCGTTACTTTGAAAGTAACTTCTTTACTTTAAAAGTACATAGTTCGTTACTTTTAAAGTAACGCGTTACTTCAAAAAAAAACTATTTGCGTCGAAAATTGCGTTATTCCTTAATTTGACTCACCAACACAGCAGTCCAAACAATCAAATAAGACCTATACGAAATGCCAATATGTTTTTAGTTTGTGAGTCCAACTATGTGGAAGAGTATTTTTGCAAAATTCAAACGGATTAAGGATTAAGCGACTGAATAGAGCAGTTGATTTTGGACAAACCATGCTCTTTGAAGTGTCCCAGTGTCTGCATATAGTGTCCTTAGAGCAGAGGCGGCGCGTGGTACGCCCAAAAACGATTATTTTGAGCTTTCAAAAGAAATTTTCTGTACTACCAACATTTTATTTGACGTACAAAGTTTTTGGATTACTAATTTTCCTTTTCCTCACTCGTCAATTATTTGTAAAGAAGATTGAAAATTGAGAGAACGAGTTACTTTCATAGTAACTAGTAACGCGTTACTTCCAGCGTTACTTCAGGGAAGTAACGTCGTTACAGTTACTTATCAATCAATCTGAAAAGTAACGAAGTTACCAAGTAACGCGATACTTTCAGTAACTCGTTAAAGTAAAGTAACTTTTTTTTGTCGTTACTCCCAGCTCTGGTTCAACTGTTTTGGAAATATTGACAGTTGAAAATTGACTTTTTGCAACTTTGACAGGTTGTAAAACCTGAACAGTTAATTTAAGAGGAAAACCGATTTTACATTCCTATCATAGATTTTCATAAATTATCATTTGACTGACACCAACTTTGAATTTAACCGGAGATTAAATTTAACTGGAGTTTTTATTCATGGATTAAATTCAAAGTTGGTGCCGACTGATAGTTTATAAAAATCTAAGATAGGAATGTTAAATCGGTTTTCCTCCAAAATTAATCGTTTAGGTTTTATAACCTGTCAAAGTTGCAAAAAGTCAATTTTCAACTTTAAATATTTCCAAAACAGTTGAACTTAGGTATAGGGTATATCCTCGGGTATATCACATGGAATCTGGTCAGAATTTTACGTAGAATCCAAATAAGTAATCACATACAGGGTGTTCCATTTGAAGTAACGAAGTTCTGTCCTTAGGTTCTGTCGCATACCTATCCCATAAACCGAGGGGTGTTTCACGATCGGCATTGGTGTACAAATTTTCGGCAATAATTACCGCAGTGAGAGTAATTGTGGGCATTGAATAGATAAATAAGGGAAGTTGAGGCAGTGATAGTGAAATTGACGGCATTGAATCACAATCTTTTCCTGGGAAACCTCCTGTTTTGCCTTTTCGGAAGATCATACTGCTTACTCTTTCTAAGGTCGTCGAAATCAGACGAAGAGTTCCTCAGGGCCTCTGCTCTTTTCCATATACACTGCTGACTTTTGTAACTAGTTAATTTTTTCAAACTCCCACCAATATGCTGAAGACTTTCAATTATATTTTTCTTTTAATGCTGACTTTCTTGAAGCACAAAATATTAAATAGCGATTTGAATATCATACCTAATATCTCCACAGTTCATGGTCTTTCCTTGAACGCGTCGAAAAGACAGTTGCTGGAATTTGGGAGGAAGTTTGCTGTACTTGCTGGAGAATTGATTATTACCATCAAATATTACCCTTAATAATATCAAGATTAATTTTCGGAATCTTGTTAAAGTTTGGGAGTTTATTTTAATCCTCGTTTTGATCCGAGTTTTAGATTTGGACATAATGTTTCTTATGTGTTGCAAAAGTGTTATGCCAAGTTGAGAACTTTATATTTATTTAAAGACTTCCTCTCACATATTTCCTATTGTGATATACCTATTATATTGGCCTGCCCTTCTTGTTGAAGGTAAATAAAGTCTGCAAAAGCTTGCCAATGCATGCTTGCGGTTTTCTACGGAGTTCGTAAATTTGACCATATATACCTCCCTACTATGTGGAATCGGGTTGGTTAAGACTGGATTACTGGAAGAGAGGTTTAAGGTACATATGTGTTGCATGGTCTACAAAATTAATTTATTTTAGGAATCTCAATACCTTTTTGATAAACTTATTAAAATGTCTAACGATCACCAATTTACTACAAGCCACAATAATGTTTATTCGTTACCTAAAGGAATAAACAAGCACAGTTAACTGATTTATAACCGACAAATGGCATAATAAGGATCGCATATTTTTATATTTTTATTTTTTTTTGATTATATTTATTTTATTTTTTTGTTGATTTTTATTTTATTTTTAATTTTATTTTTTTCTGTTTTTTCTCCTATTTTTTTATTTTCTTTTTTGTAATAACATATTATTATCTTTTCTTTAATGAATTTTTGTTTTTCATATTATAATTTGTTATACATTTGTTTTCTTGTTTTGATTTCGATTTGCAAAAGTAGGTACTAACACACTATTATTATTATTATTATTATTATTATTATTATTATTATTAAATCTTGCACTCTGCTCAATCTAGATTTTGCAAGAATTGATGCTCCGCAACGGCGCTCTTAAAGGTGACGGATGACATTCTGAAGGCTTCGGATCGTGACGATTTGACGGCATTGGTTCTCTTGGACTATTCGAAGGCCTTCGACTGCCTCGATCATAATCTTTTAGACGTACTTCACTATCTAGGACTTGACAGTGATTCGAGGCTTCTTGTTAGGTCATACCTCACCAAGTGGTCAAGCTTAGTGGCAGGCTTTCGAGACCTGTGGGGATCAAATGTGGTGTGCCTTGAAACGCTGTTTTTCTCTCTCTATACATCACATCTTATTACATTTCTCCGATTTTTAACTGTTCACTATTAGGCTGACGACACACAACTTCAAGCCTAATGAAATAATGATAGCCAACGACAG